CTGGACCTCATACTCACAATCAGAGAGGGACTTGTTGGAGATGTGAAGACGAGGGTAGCCTTGGCTGCAGCGATGATGAGCTGATGGAGTTCAGAATCCAAAGAGGAGGAAGTAGGGCTGTAAGTGGCCTTGTAACCAYGGACTTCAGAAGGGCTGACTTTGGCCTCTTCGGGGACCTCCTTGGAAGAATTCCATGGGCTAGGGCTCTAGAAGGAAGAGGGACCCAGGAGAGCTGGTTAGTTTTCAAGCAACACTTCCTCCACGCTCAGCAGTGGTGCATCCCTGTAAGTAAGAAGTCAGGCAGGGGGAGCAGGAGACCTGCGTGGATGAACAGGGAGCTCCTGGCAAAAGTCAAGCAGAAGAAAGCAGTATACAGAAAGTGGAAGAAGGAACAGACCCCTTGGGAAAAACAGAGGAACGTTGTCAGGGAATGCAGGGATGCAGCAGAATAGATTCACAGAATATTTCACAGAATATTTAAGGTTGGAAGGGACCTCTACAGATCATCTAGTCCAAAGGAAAGCTTAGGCATGCTTAGCTTTATAAAAATATAAAGCTATATAGCTATATAAAAATACAAAAGCTATATAAAAATACAAGCTATTTAGCTTGTATATAGCTATATAAAAATATAGCTATATATATATAAAAATACATAGCTATATATATTATATATATATAGCTTAGCTATATAAAAATACAAAAATATATTTTTGCCCCTTTCTTAGGGGCAAAAAACTTTCTTCTCTTACCCAAGAACATTCTCTTATTCCTCTTTCCTTCACACATCCCATCCTGTTCCATGAATGATTCGCAAGATAAGCCAAGTCCATCACAAGCTTCATTTGCATCTATAAATATCTCAGTATGATTCCAGCCAAAGCTCAAGGAATCTCATGCACAGACCTGTGAAATACACTCCTTTCTTCAAGCTGTCACACCACAATAATGTCCAAGATATTACACAGAAGMATAGCTGGAAGGTTTCTTAACTTGAGCAACTAAAGTGCAGATTATGAAAACTGGCAGGACATTATTTTGCATGTCATAGTGCATCTTTATCACCAACCCTGCCCTCCTCTCTCCTTTCGTCCTTCCATTCTCATTTCCCCCCCTCTCCAAAACTCAAGGTGACTCTCACAGAACCCATATGTCCAAAGSAGAAGGGGGAAAAGAACCCTGCCATTCCCAGGGAAAGGCCAACTGCAAATATATATATATATACACACACACACACACATATGTATATATATGTGGCTATTATGACCTTTTTTGTTTTAATATGAGCATATGACTTGAGGAAGCCTTTTATCACTCCACTGTGCACCCTGTCATAGTTATATAATCCCACCCATCCTTTGCTCCCTTCTTTCTTCTTCCTTCACTCCCATTCCATTTTTCACAGTTTGCTCAAAATCTGCCTCTCTCTACTCATTTCCTCATTTTGTTCCCGGGTTAATTGCCTCTCTTCCTCCCTCCCCACTATTTCTATTCACAGGCTAGTTCTTTTGCCTGTTTGGTGCCAATTTCATTATACTGGACTCTTCCAGTTTCCTAAGAATATTTTGGCAGTCCTAAAAGAGTATTTTATTTTCAGTGGAACATTCAACACTTACATATTGAATGCAAATGGAAGATAAAGTACAATATTAATTGCTTAATGTGGGTAACTGCAGAGCACAGATTTCAGAGTATTTAATAAATCAATGGCATGTATTCAATGTCTCTAAGAGCTTTGGTGAAAAAGAAGTGACGCAGAAAAAGTATTTTTCTTCTGTAGAGGGACTCCTTTTACTGGTAGGCAGATTTGTTTTTACCAAGAGCATGAGATTGACTTGACYGGTATTTCTGGCATATATGACAAGCTTTAACAGCTACTTCAAGCCTGCTGTTTATTTAAAGCAAGTGCTAAGCATCTTTGGCCATGCCATTAGAATCRTCAATCCTTAACTGACCTTTGTGTGTCCCTTTCCAATCCTCCAGCCAAATCCTAAGTGCTGTAAAAAATGTCTTTAAATGCTAAGGGTTCTTAATAAAATATGCAAATAACATTTTGGCAACTAGACAACTAGAGGTAAGAAGGGATACCACTCAAGCAATGGTAGTTCAGGATCGACCATCTCCAGCTCCTTCAAGTGCTCCTTGAACCTTTAGGGTTATTGAGGCACCCTGTCTGCAAGCAGCACCCGTTTCCCCTGTAACACTGCAATGCTAAACAAAACCCAACTAGCAAAGTGGAATGCTCCCCCCCAGAAAGATTTGTAAGTGCAGTAACTTGGCTCCTGTTATTCCAAGGGTTCATTGCTAATGCATCACACAGTATCTGGTATCAGCCACTTTTCAGAAAGGAGGGAAGGAAACAAAGGTGGCCTCCTGGTAATGCACTTATTCATTTGGCCTGGCACACAGGAACTGTTTTTAGTTTCTTCTCRTAGCCATCTATTATTTCCATATCCTCTGCCACGAAAGCCAGGGTGGACAGGGTAGAGGCTGGAGGGAGGCCAGCAACCAGGGGCCCCTCAGCTGAGGCTGCTGAGCACAACAGGAGGGACTGCAAGTTGGTCCCTTCAGCGGCAGCAGTGATGGCTCCACACCATGTTCTCCCGTACAGAGCTGCCCATCACCCAGGATGGCTCTCAAGGGCTGGAGATCTTACCAGGGAAAGTGAGAAGGGAGGCAGATGAGCTATGACTTGCTATTAACCTCCCTCTCTGTGGTCTGTACAGCACTTTGGGGGCTTTTGATAGCGCCTTTTCTTTGTTAGCACCATTCACCCCTGCACTCTGCCCGGCTCAGTGCCTTGCACCTGGACTCTGCCCCAGCTCTTGCCCAATCTCCAGGTGCAGACCTCTCCAGMGCCGATCTCCATCGCGCCTGGCCTGGCAGATAGGCTGCACTGCAGTGCAGAGAAAAGGTATGAAAGATTCAGTGACATAGAAATATCAGAAGAGAAATCCATCTCTATCTGGAGATAGTATGGAAAGAAATTTCAGTGGATTTATTGGAGAAGGAGAGGCCCCGACTGCTATAAAATTAACAAAATTAATTAAAATTAACAAAATTAACAAAATTAATTAAAAGCTTTACTCTGCTAGACTGGCAAAAAGGAAAACGTGAAAGAAGTAATACAGGCAAAAAATAAATAGTCAGTTTTCTTCCTATTACATTGACTAGCTAACAGAAATGTAAAAAAGCAAGGGAAGAGGTATTGTATTTTCTGATGAGGATTTGTCCATTAGGGTTAAACCATAGGGTTAAACCATAAGCTTCAGTCTTTCATTCTGCGGTCTGAACTTAGTCCAAGTGTGAAGCTGACCTCTCGAGTTTCCTCCCCACCTCCAGGATTATTGTGCCAGCACAGACACAGTCAGCTGAGAGAAGAGGAGGAAGGAATTTCCTCACTTTCTTATCCGGACCTCTGAGTAGGTGACACTACGAGGGAGTTGAGCAAAGCAGGTGGTGCTGGAGGAGATGGGTAGTGAGTTACACAGGAAAGGGACAAAATTCAAGTCTTGTCTGCATGGGTGTGAAAGTTTCCTCAGTGAAGTGGAGGGCCCTGCTGCTCCCCTCTTCTCTCCCCTTCCTGYGCTGCTGCAGAACCTGCGTGCAGACCCTCAATAATCTCTCTGATGGACATCCCAGGGTTCGGCACAGGAGAAATGGCCTTCTCCTCACGCGGGCAGGGGTTGCCTCTCTTCTGCAGACCAGCATGGGGCAAGACTGCTGCTTTCCTCTGGAAAGTATTTGTATTCGCTCTTCCCGCGATGTCAGCATCTAGCACACCTGCCCTGCGTAAAGCAGTTCTGAACCACTTGGTTAGGTCAGAGCAGAAGCTTTCTTGAGCTCAGTGGTGTATGTGTCTAACTTTAGTTCAACAGCTCCACAACTCTGTCACACTATCCTCAAACCCCTTCAGCCCCAAACAGAACAGGAGTGGCTTTTTGTGTCTTTCTTCTGGGATCTAGATCTGTGACTTCAGTCTTAAGGGCTTCTATCTCCAATGCTGGACTTGTTTTTCT